ACACCACCCGCAGCGAGCTGGACCCTCCCACATCAATCATTAATCAAGAAAAAACCCTACAGGCTTGCCTATACACCAATCTTTTGGATGCACTTCCTCAATTAGGAGTCCATCTTTTCGCTGGGTGGTTGTGGCAGAGGTGGAACACGCCTTTAATCTCAGCACTCAGGAGGCAGAACCAGGAGGACCTTTGAGTTCAAGGCCAGCCTAGTCTACAGAGCAAGAAAGTTCCAGGACAGCCAGAGCTACACAGAGAAACCCTGTCTTGAAGCTCCCCACTCCCCCACCCCACCCCCCTCAAATAAAAGGGAGTTCATCTTCTCAGATGACTCTAACTTGCATCAAGTTGACATAAAACCAACCAGCACAAGATGCAATGACCCTTCCCCAACAAGTCCATCTTCGTGATCCTGAAATGAGGGCACAGTTTAAATAGAAGGCAAAAGACTAGCATAGCTAAGTGGAGGCTTGACCTGGCTTTAGTCCATCCTGTCAGGTGGTTTGACAAGCTGTATGTCTCCTCTTTGGCTAGTTCCCTTTCCTTCTGTCAGTCTGCGTTCCTGCAGAAATTCCCATTTCTTTGGAATCCATTGTTTCAAATGCCTGATAGTCAGATTTTTGAGACACCAAGTGTCTAGAACATTCTCATTTCTGTCAGGCCAATTACACCATCATACCTTGACTGGGAAGTTTGTATGTCAACATTGCTGCCTGGAGCACATAATCATTCATTCACTCACTCACTCACTCACTCACTCACTCACTCACTCACTCACTTACCTCTGAATGTTTACTGTGTATCTGGCATTGTTCTGGAAGTGGCTCTGCACTTGCTGTGCGGTGTGAGGACCAGAGTTCAGATCTCTAGATCCCACATAAATTCCGGTTGGGTGTGATGGCTTACCTGTAATTCCAGCCTTGGAAGACAGAGACAGGGGAACCCCAAGGCAAAGTAAGCTGTCTACGAAAACTCTGGGTTCAACTGAGAGACCATGACTTGAATAAAGTGAGAGAAGGATGAAAGAGGATCCCTGTTATCAGCATCAGGACACACACACACACACACACACACACACACACACACACACACACACACACATACACACACACATCACATATGCAGTTATGTGAAAAAAGGTCTGAGGTACTGGATCTGACATCATGGTGATCCAGAGACCAGGCACCTGATCTCATTTGAATTCTGCCTTAGGAGAGTTCCAGGTAAAGTGGCAATGGCAATAGCTACCTCACACTGAGAGGCACGCCATTACACAAGTTACATTATCCTCCAGCCATCCAAGACATCAGCTCCAGCCGTCTAAGATGTCAGCTCACCTAATGATGGGAAACCAAGGCTCCAAAAGCCTTGAAGAACCTTCCTGAAGCCACACAGCTATCAGGTCTACCAGACTGGCATTCATCTTGTCTCACTCAGCCTGTGCCAAGGTCTGCATCTGGCTAGGTGGTCATTCCTTCAAGTACCAACATCAATCCCAGCCAGTGTGTCTGGAAAGTGAGTTGCCATCACCACAGCCTGCTCTGGGAAAGTCAGCTCTGGTACCGGGGAGAGCCCAGCCCGCAGAGGGAGAGGACCCTGACCTGGGCTTTGAAGAGCTGAGCAGACATGTGAGCGGAGACTTCACTTTAGGCTGTGGACTCCCCAGGCACTGTCCGTCAGAACAGGGCATCCGAGGATAGTTCTCCTTCCATATCTCGCGGCAGAAGCTTGGCAGAGGGACTGTGCCTCCACCCACCTGGTTTCCTGGCCCGTGACGCCTCTTCCATCTGGCTCATTCATTCATGTGTTCATTCAACAGATAATCACTGAGCACTACCAACTCCCCGCCCTACTATGGACAAGGTGTGTGTACACAAGGGAGTGCGGACCTGAAGGTGGATGAGTAGGAGAAATGAGACATCTGGTCACAGTGGTTCAAGGACCATGGGGAAGGCAGAGATGCAACCCTAGGTTAAGTCTGAGGCGGGAGTAGAGGAGCATACATTAAGGAAACCTTCCAGTAGGTGGAGCTGAGCTTCGAAGGATGGGTAGGACTGAAAATGTCAAGGTGAAAACTATCCCACTAGCGTGAACAGTGTGTGCAATGTACCATGACATCTGGAAAACCAGGGAGCAGTATGGGGACACACACTGGGGAACCAAGATGTCTGGCTAGTATATATGCTGAGCTATATATGTGATATGTCATACTGATGACTGTTCAGCCCCTCTGGAGGCACCAGGACAGATAGATTTAGGTCCCAGAGTTCCCAGGAGAGTTTTGACACCCATCCTCGAGGTGCAGACCTCACTAGGGTCACTCTTGCCACCCTCTACGGCTGTGTCTGAGATCCTCTAAGTGCTCTGATAGTACATCTCAGGTTGGGTCAGCCAACAAGCCCAAGCCTCAGGTTAGAAAGTTCAGAGGGCATCCCATCACTTAAAAGAAAAATCTGGGGCTGGAGAGATGGCTCAGTGGTTAAGAGCACTGGCTGCTCTTCCAGAGGGCCTGAGTTTAATTCCCAACACCCACATGGTGACTCACAACCATCTGTAATAGCATCTGATGCCCTCTTCTGACATGCATGCAGACAGAACATTATTATTATGCATACATAATAGATAAATCTTAAAAAAGAGAAATCCACAGGGTATGGTAGCACAGCCCTTTAATACCAGCACTTGGGAGACAGAGGCATGAGGATCTGAGTCCAAGGCCAGCCTAGTCTCCATAGGAAGAGCTCTAGAACAGCCAGGACTACATAGAGAAACAAAGCAAAACAAAATACAAATACAAACTCTCTCTCTCTCTCTCTCTCTCTCTCTCTCTCTCTCTCTCTCTCTCTCTCTCTCACACACACACACACACACACACACACACATCCTGCACATACTCATTCATGCATAAATAGAGAGAACCTGGTGTGGTGGTGTATACCTTTAATCCCAGCACTCAGAGCAGATCTTGGTGAGTTTGAGGGCAGCCTGGTCTATGTAGTGAGTTTCAAGTCAGCCAGAGCTAACACAGTGAGATCTTGTCTCAAAATAAATCAATTAAAAAAAATCCTGGGCTCACATCACGGAGACCACACCAAATAGAGCCTCACTTATAGAGCACTGCCTTAATATGTGTGAGCCTCACCCAGTCAAGGGGGGGGGGCGCTCACACAACTACACATTGTTGTAGCTACAGCAGGATGGGGGAAGACTCGCTATTCTACCAGCCCCTTTGTTCTCCATGGCACCGGAACGATCTAAGACTGGGAAAAATGTGCTTTAAACTGCTAGTCTAGCTGGGTGTGGCGGCTTACACTGTTTGTCTTCGAGACAGGGTCTCATGTTGCCTTGGCTGGCCCTGGAGCTTGCTAGGAAGTTCTTCTGGCTCTCCCTCCTTGACCGCTGGGATTAAAGATGTGCACCACCATATATTCCAGACATTTAGGAGGCTGGACATGAAGATTTGCTGTCAGTTCTAGGCTGGTTCAACTCACTCCCAATTTTATTCTACAAGTAAGGGACAAGAGATATGAAGGCACCAGGTCATCCAACTCCTGGTGTCTAAAATCTGAGAAGTGGGTGTGGTTTTCAGGACACACCCATTCCCTGGATAGCAGGGCTGCCAGGGTTCTGGGGTAGCCCCAAACATCTGACCCTGGCCAGGTGGCAGCTGGAGCCATGCTAACTAGCCTGTGGCGTCCTAGCTCACTCACCCTTTGCTAGTGGAGAATAGATGTTGGTCAAGTCCTCCTTCCACCATACAAACATTGCTTGAGTGAGGGAAGGGGAAGGCTGTACAAGCGTGAGTGCATGTGCCTTTGGTGTTGGCAGGTTGCCTGAGGAGAAAGGTGGGAACGGGAGCCAGAGGCTGGGAGCAAGTCTGGAAATTATCATCTGGTGTCTGCTCCTTTAGTTCTAAGCATATCCTAGCTTTAGGAGAGGGCTCCAGCAGCCACAGCATCTAGTCCTGGCACCCCTAGGTGAGACATGTTTAGGAATATCTGCTGTACCATTTGGGTTCAGAGGGCATGCTTGTAACCTTGTTCCTTAGTGAGGCTGTCTTAACCAACCCCAGAATTTCCCCTGAAGCCCACGGTCCTCTCCAGGGTGACATGCCACCCCTTCTTCTATGTGGGAAAGATACCAGCAGGAGCCTTGACTAGTTGTACAAGGAAAGTGACAGACGGAACATCTTTGCCTTGTTGGTCACTGGCCTCTTGGTGGGAAGAGTCAGCCCTAGCTTTCTCTAACAGACCTTTGACCTTGTAAGGGTTCAGCCATGGTGTGGTGGCCGTTGTACTCTCTGTTTCACTGACTCTGAGAAAGGAAGTCATTTTGAACACCGGCCATAGTCCAGGCTACTTGTGTAGGCTCTGAGTAGCTCTGGGATCTATGCCAGGCTCAGCTCAGGGCTGAAGCTACCAGAGCTCAAACCTCACTGTCGCAGGGGCTGGCCACATTTCTCTAGTCTTTCAAAAAGAAATCTTGGCTGTTCATCCTCCTCTCCTACCCTCTGCCCTCCTCTCAATCCCGAATTTGGTGGGGCCATGGTCTACACCACAGGCTATGACACATAACATGGCAAAAGAGAAGCCCCCTAACTCAACACACACACACACACACACACACACACACACACACACACACACACACACACACACCCCTCTGTCAAATGCCCCACAGAGACTTGCATCTGAGTGCCTTGGTGTACAGACATCGTGGGAGGCAGAGACAGACAAACGGATAGTGGATAGACAGAGGCTGCTCCTCTGGGACTTGGCTCGTGCAGTTTTCAGACAGAGCATATGTTACTGCCTCCTCCCCTGACATTCCTGGAACAGCTTCCAGGCAGCAATCTTCACTCCAGGGGATCATGGGAGGTGTCTGCAGATGCTAAAGAGGCCTATTTTCCTGTCCCCTTTCCTGTCCTTGGGGTTCAGGACAGGACTGGTTCATGATGACAGTCTCACCTCCAGCAGGCCTGGCAAACACAACACAGGAGGGGTGACAGCTGAAAAAGCAGATCCACTTTATTTACAATGATCAGTAGATGACATAGATCTTTGGGTTCTTATGGCCTTGTGGAGATAGATATCTGGGCAGGGGCTCTCTTCCCCTGTCTTAATACCTGTTCCTCCCTCATCCTGCATGTAAGTATAGCTATGGTCAAGACCTGCTTGCCCTGAATGCCTTGCTTGTTTGGGGCATGAGTCCTTACCTCCTTTGGAGGTTCCATCATGGTCCAGGATGTAAGGTAGACCAGTTATCTGTCTGCAGAGAGGGGATGAGTGGAACCCTGAAAGAATATCAAGGCAGAGGATTGTAAAGCTGCCTAGTGCTGGGCTGTTAGACTGTCCCACTCTGTTCTTTGCATGTAGACAGGACCATCCCTGTCCCTTTCACAGAGAGACCAATGAAGTGTCAGGAGCCTTCCAAACAGTAATGGGTAGGACCACGAATTCCGCCCTGTGTATGGTCCCTGGTGGGAGTCCACAGTGGGGCTCGTCTCAGTTCTCCCCACCTATTCCGTTCTCTCCCTTATCTGAAATCTCTCCAGGATGGTTCTTATCACAGGGAATAAGAGACCAAGGGCGGGACCATTACTCCTCCCTTAGACGGGGTCCTGGGTTCAAACCCACCCTCCAGGGTTTCCACAAATATTTTCCCCTTTCTCCTGAGATGCTGTTTTGGAAGAGAGCAAGTTAGTCTGTAGGCAGAGACCTGGCATAAAGCGTGGGGGAGGGCAATTCCACAGTGAAGGACCAGGAAAACTCCCAGTGTGGGGAGATGTGGACTCCCCTCCACCCCTAATAATCAAGGGCATATCCGGCTTCACCCTGAGCCAGGATGAGGAGCAAGGCGACCACTACGGACACCGCGAGGGTGGCAGGCCAGGGACCAGGAGGGCTGAAGCGGGCAGGACCGGTTTTGAGTCCTGGTCAGTCTGCTGGGCCGGGTCTAGGGCCCGAGTCCTAGCCCTGCGCCCTCAGCGCGCCTGACCCGCCCGCTCCCTGGAGCCGGCCTTCCAGCCGCGGGGCTGCGCGAGTGGCGGAGGCGCCGGGGCGCCCCGCAGGCTGCACGTCCTCAGCTCCCGGGCTAGGCTCAGCACCTCGGGCCGCTCGTGCTGCAGGGCTCCTCCCTCGCTGTCCCGGGAGTCCTCCTCCTCCTCCTCCTCGTCTTCTTCCTCCTCCTGGATGCTGCTGAGACGCGGAGCCCCGCGGCAGCGCTCGCCCGGCGGAGGCCGGTAGGCACACTTGGCGTTGAGCAGGCGGCGCAATGGGGCGCGGGGTACCGAGGCGGCGGCTCCCCCGGCTCGGAGGTGCTGCTGGCGCACGTGGCGCGCGTCGCTCTGCCGCTGCAGCCGCTTGAAGTCGCTGAAGGCCGCCAGCGCGGTCTGGCGGAGCAGGCGGGCCAGGGAGCGCGCCTTGTGAGCCCGCGCCAGCAGCACGGCGTGGCAGCGCAGCACCACGGCCTTGTGGCGCGCCTGGTGGCGGTAGACCCAGGCGAAGACGCGCGGGTGGCGCCCGTCCGCCGCGCAGTAGGTGATGCGCGGCAGCAGGTAGGCGTGCGCCGGCCTGCGGCACCCAGAGCCCCCGGCGCCGCGCTCGCTCGGCTGCATGCGGATGCCGTGCGGGCCCAGCGTCAGTTTCATCTTCGTGCCCCCTCCCGGCCCGCAGCGAGCCCAGATCCTGCCCACCGCGTCGTCGGTGCAGCCGTCGCCTTTGGCGTGCAGGGTGACGGCGTTGCCCAGGTACCACACGGTGTAGGTCGGGTCCTCCTTGTTAAGCTCTACTTTCTGGCGCCGGCTGCGGAACATGCGGCCCAGACGCTCCAGGGGCCAGTCCGGTAGCAGGTCCGGGCAGGAGCGCAGGAAGCTGGAGAGCAGCGATGTGTAGGCGAGCCCGGGGCTCAGGCTCTTCGCCTTGCGCTTGGCCTCGTCCTCCACTAGCACGAATTTGTTCCGTCTCCAGGGCAGCATCGCGGCGGCCCAGAGGGCTGGGATTACGGGGAGTTCACCCGGTCCTGGGGGAGGCCAAAGGTGCCCAGAAGCCCACCGCCCAGGACTCACGACAAGCTGGGCGGAGGTCGGAGATAGTCGTTGAGTGATGCTCGGTGTCCGGCACGGCTGGCTTCGCAGATGCCCGGTGCCCAATTGGGCTGGCTGCGAGATGCCCGTGTGGCTGCTGATCAGCCCGGAACAGCTTACCCCAGGAATGACTCCAGCCGTCTGGGAAGCAAGGAGGGACGGGGGTCTAGAGCAATGGATATCCCCCAGGTTCGACTATGGGTGGGGATTGCCAAAGTCCCTGCCGCCGATTCAGCAGCAGGGAGGTCTCTGGAGCTGGGGCTGGTGAAAGCCGGATGAGGTGGACCAAGACCACGGCTGCGGTGGGAACTCCTTCAGGCGTTGCGGCTCCACCTCCCTTGGCTGCCTACATCACCGGGCGGGACCGCTAGCTCTCTTGTCCCCTCCCTTTCTCCCCCCAACCCCCACGCATGCAGACTCCCAAGACCCAGCACCGGCGCGCTGGAACTGTTTTGAGCTTTATCTTTGGAAGGATGAAGAGTAGAGGGGCAGCTAAGCAGTGGGAATCCCCCAAAACACCGCGGAGGGATTTACGGATGCAAATTTCTCCAGCCTCACTCGTGGGCTCCAGGCTCCCAGGGAGAGCCTCTCCCTCTTCCTAGGACTCTTCCCTGCTGCCCCTCATCCACAGAGCGTCCCTACCCCCATCTCTGAGAGCGGAGATTTGGGGGTGGGTTCCTGCTGGGACCGGTCCGGTGCCCTTTGCCTCTTCCCTGCACAGCATAAAGCCAGCTGAGGTGGCCGCTCAGTGCAGTGGAAAAGTACTGTCGTTGGTGAAGCTTTCTCCCGGGTTCCTCCAAGGTCGTGGCCAGGCTGCTTCCCCTGAGCTGAGGGACTGGTCATAACACAACACCAGCGACTGGTGGTCAGGACAGAAGCGAGATTTTGGGGGGTGGGGAGGGGTTTACAGAGCGGATCTGAGGCTGTGGGAATTGCAGTAGTAAAGCTCTTCCCTTGGTCAAAGTGCAACCTCTGGCTCTCTGAAGATTAAACAGATAATGCCCTATCTGTAGAGATGCTTTCTCAGTTCCCAGGTGTTTAACATTCACTATCTCTTCAAACCCTCCAGACAGACAGTCCAGGGTCACAAGGCTGGAAGGAGATGGGTCCATTGAGACCCCAGTGACACCAGAGCTGGCCCTCCACCTAACTCCTTCCCTCCAACCTTTGTCCCTCTGCTGCATAGAGCCCAGGCACTCAGCTCCATCCCCTGGGGAGTAACTGGTTTTTAACGGGGGGGGGTCTAGAGTACTGAAAAACAGCCCTACTGGGCAAAACAGATATTCCCTTTCTCTGAGTTAAGCCAGTGGCTCCCAGAATTCCTGGACGGCTCTCATGTGGGCCCATTGCCTTAAGGCTTTCCTACTGCTGATACAAGATCTTTCATTGGGTCCTGGGGACTTGTCACATGGAGGTACCTGTCAGGTCAGGAGAGAGCTCGGGGCTGATCCTGGCTGAGTTCAGAACCAAGCCAAACTACAAGAGTGTGTGCTCATTTGGGGATAGCAAGTAGGAATGGTGGGTGACTGGCCTCAGAATGCCCAGAAGAATAAAAATTATATATATCAGGGTGTGGTGGTGCACATCTGTAATCCCAACTCTGGGAGGCAGAGGCAGGCCCATCTCTGTGAGTTCAGGCCCAGCATGGTCTACATAGTGAGATCCTGCCTCAGAGAGGGGCTGTGGTGGTTGGGGGAAGGAGGAAGAAGAAAAGAAAAGAAAAAAGGATGCCCCAAGTATCCTTTGCCTTTTGTCCAGCAGCTACCACTCCCAGAGCATTTAAGACAGGGTGCACCTGGAGAACCCCCATTCCATTCCCAGCTCGGCTCACTCTCATTCATGCTGGGGGCGTGGCTTCTGTTCCCACCACATTTAAAAAATATTCTAGGATGTGCCCATCTGGGACCATATGGAAATGCAGCAAATGCAATGCTGAAAAAAATTAAAAAGATTTTAATTATGTGTATTCATGTGTGTGGGCATGTGTTCTTGGATGCAGTGCTCCTGGAGGCCTGAGGCGGACCTCAGATTCCCTGGAGCGTGAGTTACAGGTGATTCTAAGTGACCCAAGGTTGGAGCTGGGAACTAAATCTGCGTCTTCTGCCAGAGCAGTGTGTGCTCTTAACCACTAAGCCATCTTTCCATCTAGCAAGTAACATTTGGCATTGCTAATTATTCTATTAATACTTGCTAATCCCATCCACATGGACAGCAACTCATCCAGCCTCCTGGGTCTGCATTCTCCCCACTTGACCCTGTCTCCTAAATCTTCTCCTCACAACGCCTGGATTCTCCCCTGGCCTCCCAGGCTCCTCCCTAGACCCTTACAATGCTCAGTGATCTTGAATATACTGCAGTTCTCCTCTAAACTCTTGACTTTGGAAGAGTCAGCTGCCTCAGACACAGCCTCATGTCCCTTCACATACAAAGAAGAGCCATTAATGAAAGCAGAGCTTGGGGCTTCCAGAAGCTTCTGTTTCAGGCAAGGGCTCCCAGACCTCATCACCATGGCTTCATAGGCAGGCGTGCAGTCAGCCCTGCCCAGCTTAGTTTTTATTCTCTCTCTCTCTCTCTCTCTCTCTCTCTCTCTCTCTCTCTCTCTCTCTCTCTCTCTCTCTCTCTCTCTCTCTCTCGTGTGTGTGTGTGTGTGTGTGTGTTCCTATATTTCTTTTAAAAGTCAAATTGTTTGAACACCTTTAATCCCAGCACTCGGGAGGCAGAGGCAGACAGCTCTCTCTGAGTTCGAGGCCAGCTTGGTCTACAGAGCGAGTTCCAGGACAGGCTCTAAAACTACAAAGAAACCCTGTCTTAATGAAACCAAAACAAAAAAGTCAAATTGTTGGTATATAAGTGGCATAAAAGTAATAATAATAACAATAGTAGTAAAATAATAAATCTCTCAACCAACCCTTAGTCTCAATTCCAAAGACAGCCGTTTACACTCGTTTCATTTGTCATTTTGTTATGCATACACACACACACACACACACAGGCACACACACACACACACACACACTCACACACACGCAGAGGGGAGGGAGAAGCTGGAGGGAGACTAGACACTAGGTGTCCTTCTCTGTCACCGTCCGCCTTGTGTCTTTGAGGCGGGTCTCTCACTGAACCTGGAGCTCGCAGGAGGCAAAATCCCCAATGGTCCTCCTGTCCCTGCCCACCATAGCATGTGGTTTATAGATACCCGCTCAGCCATGCCCAGCTTTTTTGAAAGAAAAAAAGCTATTTATTTATTTATTGGTTTTTCAAGACAGGGTTTCTCTGTGTAGCTTTGGAGCCCATCCTGGCACTTGATCTGTAGACCAGGCCGGCCTCAAACTCGCAGAGATCTGCCTGCCTCTGCCTCCAGAGTGCTGGGATTAAAGGTGTGTGCCACCACCGCCCGGATCTTTTTTTTTAAATATAGGTTCTTGGATCTGAACTCAGACCCTCGTGCTTATGCAGCAAACAACCTTACTCACTGAGCTGTCTTCCCAGCCCAGCTCCAAGCTTCCTGCTGTGCTGGCTGGGTTAATGTCAACTCAACACGCTAGAGTCACTGGAGAAGATGCCTCTATGAGATCTGGCTATAGGCAAGCCTGCAGGGCATTTTCTTGATTAGTGGTTGATGGGGGAGGGCATGGCCCATTGGGGGTGGTGAGACCTCTGGTAGGTGGTCCTGGGCTCTATAAGAAAGCAGACTGAGCAAGAGGTTGGAACCATGGGCAGTGGTGGTTCACACCTTTAATCCCAGAACTTGGGGAGGCAGAGGCAGGTGGATCTCAGTGAGTTCAAGGCCAACCTGCTCTACAGAGCTGGTTTCAGGACAACCAGAGCTATTACACTGGGAAACCTGTCTCAAAAACCCAAAACAAAAGAAGCTTAATATTGTCAGTCGGTGGTGGTGCACACCTTTAATCCCAGCATTCTCGAGGCAGAGGTAGGCAGATCTCTGTGAGTTCGAGGCCAGCCTGGTCTTCAAAGAGAGTTCCAGGACAGCCTCCAAACCTACAAAGAAACTCTGTCTCGAAAAACAAAACAAAACAAAACAAAACAAAACAAAAAAACCAAAAACCCAAACAAATAAAAAAAAGGGAGGTGAGAACCAAGTCCATAAGCAGACCCTTCTATGGCCTCTGCATCAGCTGCATCAAACAGGTTCCTGCCCTGTTGAGTTCCTATCCTAACTGCTTTCAGTGATGGGCTATGGGTGCAGAAGGGTAAGCCTAATAAATCCTTTCCTTCCGGCTTTGCTTTTGGTTATGGTGTTTCATCATAGCAATAATAACCCAAACAAATACAGGATCTCACCATGTATCCCTGATTGACCTGAACATCTTTATGTATCTCAGGCTGGCCTTGAAGTCACAGAGATCTACCTGTGTCCTAAAATCTGGAATTAAAGGCTTGTACCATCATGTCTAGTGGCTTCCATTTCTAAATAACATTTCTAACTTAGACTATGCTGTTTCACAATCATTATTTACCGCCTCCCTATTTCAGCAGGTGATGTGATAAGATTAGTGTCCCTTACCTCTCTCTCTCCGTGTGTGTGTGTGTGTGTGTGTGTGTGTGTGTGTGTGTGTTCCCGTCCCAGCACAGGTGAGTGTGCATGTGTGTAGAGGCCAGAGGACAACCCTTTTCAGGAACTTTGCATCTTATTTATTGATTAATTTACTTAGGATCTCATTATTTAGACCATGTTGACCTGGAACTCATAAACATCCTCCTACCTCTGCCTCTCAACTTCTGGGATTAAAGCTACCAATCCTGGCTTGTGTTTATTTTTGAGACAGGGCCTCTGTCTGGGCTGGAGCTCACTCTAGGCTGGATGAACAGTGAGCCTCAGGGGTCTTTCTGTCTTCCCTTCCCTTCCCCATGGCTGTATTATAAGTAATTGCTGCAGTGCCTGGCTCCTTTGTGTGGGTTCTAGGGATGGAAGTGAGGTCTCGTAGGGGTTGCTGTCAAAGCATTTTGCAGACGGAACTATCTCTTCATCCCCTGTCCTATATTAGAACATTTTGTTGTGTTGTATGTACCAGTAATTAGTGTTTAATGGTTATTAAGTAAATAATGTTCAAAGTTGAGTCCCAACGTGTGCAGCGATGCTCTCTCCCTTGTTGGACAAATTTGTGGATTTGTTTTGTTTTGAGACAGGGTTTCTCTGTGTAACATCCCTGGCTGTCGGGAACTCGCTCTGTAGACCAGGCTGACCTCAGACTCACAGAGATTTGCTTGCCTCTGCCTTTCCAGTGTTGGAAGTAAAGGTGCGGGCATTGGATTTCCTGGAACTGGAGCTACAGGTGGTTGTAAGCCACATGTGCTGGGAACTGAACCCAGGTCCTCTGCAAGAGTAGCCAGTGTTTTAGTCAGGG